AACTACATGTAAATGGTTCAGCAGTAAAAGCTAGGAACAGGACCCATACTTACAGTGGTTTATATCAAGGTTTTCCATTATTAACAGTTCTCTGAGGTATATTCATATATGAATAAGGAAAGTTAATTCTGATTATACAGCTGTATAGAGTATATAGTGTGTACTCTGATGTGAGATTTTCTTCCGAGCTGTTTCTAGGCTGCAGAGATAGTTCAGGCAATTAAGAGCATATTCTGCTCTTTCAGAGGACCCAAGTTTCATTCTGAGCACCGTGTCAGGCAGCTCACAACTGCCTGAAACTCCAGTTCCAAAATGATCTTTGAGAGCACCTGGAGTCACATGCACACACACACACACACACACACACACACACACACGTGAATAAAAGTAGAAAGTAAAAGTATTTTAATACTTTGTTACTGGGTACTTTCTACAGCGTCCCGTGGAAAGCTTTGTTATGATGCTGGTAAGGTGTTTTTTAGCTGTGTGTGGTGGTACATGCCAGTAGTCTTAGCATTTGGAGGCGGAAGCAAGAGAATTGAGAACAAGACCAAACTGAACTATACAGCTTGGGCCTATTATGTGGGAACACCCAAGCAACCAAGTTTTTTTTATTGTTTTATATATTTATATATACATAATATTTTTTATATTTATAAATACACACACACACATTGTGTGTGGTCTATGTGTATGGTGGTGCATTTACATGAATGTGCAGGTGCCTTTGCCCTTATGTGTACATGTAAGGCCAGCAAAGGACATTGGGAGTTTCCTCTACTGTTCTCCATCACGGTGCCTTGAATCACAAGCTCCTCATTTTGGCTAAGCAGCTGCTTACTGGGTTCTGAGAATCTTTCAGTCTTCATCCTTTAGTGGTAGGGTTACAGATATATAGTCATGTCTAACCTTCATGTGAGTTCTGGGGATTTGAACTCAGTTCCTGAGGCTTGCACTGCAAATACACTAAACCATCTCCCCAGTCCCTATGACCAGTTTTGTATATGTCATTTAAGGCGGCGATTAAGGTAGATCCTAATATTGCTTATTATTGAACCGATGAATAAATGAGTTACTTATTTTCACCTGTAGGTTATCTACTTTTGGAAATGCGGGAAGCTCCCACCTTGACTATCCCAAAGATTCTGACTTGGTGGAAGCATTTCATTGTAATAAGACCCAGGTTAACAGGTCAGTTCTTAATATAAAGGTTGCATTGTTGATAAAGATGAAGTTAAGTACCAAATTTCCATATAAAAACAAAACAGGTAATTTTTAATATGTTAAAAAATGTATCACATTTAAAAAAAATAGATGGATGGGCTCTGGATTTAATTGAGGATATTGGGTTGTAATCACGGGTGGATAAAGTGAGAGAAAAGACTGATGCATTGACAAGTGCTTGCTGCTCAGTAGTTCCTAGCTAGCTTTGTCCTTGGTTTTATGTGTGTTGCATTTAGTGGACCCAAATAACAGCTTTTCATTTACTCTCCTACAGATACAAACTTTCTTTACTGAAACCCTCTACAAAGGCATTAGCTTTATCCTGTAAAGTATCTATTCGGACAGATAATCGAGGATTCCTCTCCTTACAGTACATGATTAGAAATGAAGATGGGCAAATATGTTTTGTGGAATATTACTGCTGCCCCGATGAAGAAGTTTCTGAGTCCTGAGTTATTCATTGTGAATATGTGTATGTATTTATAGTTGTGTTGTCACTCTGACTGCATAATCTCCCTGATTTCATACTGGATTGTCTATAGAGACTCTTGGAGAAGACAGGAGCAAGGTCCCATTTTGCAAATATTTTTATTTTGTGAATAAATGTTTTCCTATAGCCATAAAATATCTGGCTTATTGTAATGTTCCTGTGGTTATCTTTTTTAAATGTATTCATGTAGGTATATGTGTGTTTTTGCCTACTTTGGACAGATATGCACTGCATATGTGGCTGGTGCCTGCAAAGTTCAGAAGAAGGCCTTACTGCCTTAGAATTGGAGTTACAGATAGTTATGAGCCACCACGTGGGTTCTGGGAAGCAAACCCCAGTCCTCTGCAAGAGCAACAATGCTCTTAACCACTGAACCAGCTCTCCGGCATCCCCATCTCTCACACACACAAAATCTGGTTTTTCCAGACAGAGTTTCTCTGTGTAACAGCTATGGCTGTCCTGGAACTCACTTTGTAGACCAAACTGGCCTCGAACTCACAGAGATCCACCTGGCTCTGCCTCTTGAGTGCTAAGATTAAAGGTTTGTGTCACCATGCCTAGCTCTGTAGTTTATTTTTCCCTGAACACCATACAGACAGCCTTCGGGGTTACAGGTTTTCTTGTTCTCAAAGCTGTATGATGCAGGTAGCACCTGACACCTTCCATTTGCCTACAGAAGCTTCTTGACCAAATCAAAACCAGCTATTGAGTATTTTTGTATTTTTCTGGGCAGTTTTTACTAAAATAGTTTTTGTGGCATATAGATTGTTTTGTCATTAACAAAACATGATATTGAACCATAGCCCTGTAAGTAGAAAAAAAAAACAAAACAAAATCTGACTCTTTACCACAGGGCTAGGTAATAACAATTTAATGTAAACAAGTACTGATTTTCTGTTTCCATGAACACTTAACCCTAAAATGTAATTGTGAAAGGGAATTGGTTGACACTTGAGGGACTACAGTTTTCCTTTATATTTAAAGCAAGAAAATATTATAACATTTAGACTAACCCTTCTCTGTCAGCACACACATTAAAATGATTTTGGGGTTTGTTCATTGTGTACCTAGGTACTCATTAATATTTGTTAGATGGAAGAATCTCTACTTTGAGATTGTGTTTTAAATTTAAATTTATTAAACAATTTTTTAATTGAATCTATTGATAGAGTTAGTTAAGAAGGATAGGCATCTGTACATTTAAAACTATCTTTTTAGGTGCATATGGTTGGGGGTTGTGGTTGTCTAGATTTATGTTTAATTATATGTGTGGGTGTGTGCACTTGAGTGCAGGTGTCCACAGAGGACCATCTGGAACTGGAGTTGCAGTTGTGAGTTTCCCCACATGGGTGCTGGGCACCAGACTCAGGTCCTCTGCAAGAGCATTATGTGCTCTTAATCACTAGCTGCCTATTCGACCCCAAATCATTCTAACATCAAGGTGCTGATTTAATAAAGAATTTTTATGTATGTTTTCCTTGACCTAGGGATTTTTTTGTTTGTTTGTTTGTTTGTTTTGTTTTTCGAGACAGGGTTTCTCTGCGTAGCTTTGCGCCTTTCCTGGAGCTCACTTTGTAGCCCAGGCTGGCCTCGAACTCACAGAAATCCACCTGGCTCTGCCTCCCGAGTGCTGGGATTAAAGGCGTGCGCCGCCACCGCCCGGCTGGGATTTTTTTTTTTTTAAACGAGCTTGCTGTGGATGTCTTTCTATATGCTGTGAATATGTATTGCTCTGATTGGTTGATAAATAAAGCTGTTTGGCCTATGGCAAGACAGCTTAGAGGCAGGCAGGAAATCCAAATGGATAGACAGGAAGAGAAAGGAGAACAGAGAGAATGCTGCTAGCCACCACCAGGAGAAGCAAGATGTGAAAGTACCCGTAAGCCACAAGCCATGTGGCAAAGTATAGATTTATAGAAATGGGTTAGTTTAGGATACAAGAGCTAGCTAGTGAGTAGCCTGAGCCATTAGGCCATATCTTTTGTAAATAATAAAAGCCTCTGTGTGTTTATTTGGGTCTGAGCGGGATACAGGAAAAACTTTAGCTTCATGAAGTTTAATGAGCTCCAGTGAGACACCACCCAGAGGAGGGCTTCCTCGGGCAGAGCAGGCGACACTTGGGTGCTGCTAAAGGTCATTGCACATACAGCCAGTGGATGAACACAAGCTGGGTTTTACAAGTTTTAGTTTTGTCTTTTTAAAGTTTATATCATTTTCTTTTTGGTAAAATTTCACTTGCCACAAATAGGAAGATAGCCTTTTTTTTTTTCTTTTTAACTTGTTTATTCCTCATTTTATGTATCTACCTAGAATTTATTTAACCACTCAAAATGATGAGATTAATTTATTAAACTTTCATAAGTCACAGAATATCTGATGTAAATTATCCCTATACAAATTAGTTGCAGTTGCTTGAAGCAGGAGGATTTGGCATTCTCAACAGTTGGAGTAGGACTCTTTCAGAATGAGAGAGCTGGGGGACGGCTCACTGGGTAAAAGCGCTATCCATGCAAGCCTGGTGACTTGTGTTCAATCCTTAGGCCTTAAGAAAACACTGGATGCACTTGTGTATCTGTAATCCCAGCACTCTAGGGCAAGATGGGAGATGAAGAGAATCAGAAGTTTATGGTCCAGCTAGTCTGGAGTATGTAGGACAACAAAAGAAAGACCTGCTTCAATAAAGGGTAGAAGGATAGACCAAACTGAAGAGTCCTCGGACCTTCATATGTGCGTCTACACTCATTTTACAATTTTTTTATGAATATATAGACTCCTCCCCTTCCTGCCTTCACACTCTCTGTTTCTTGTTGCCTGAAATAAAACTTAGGGGGTTGGACACATTAGGCCAGTGCTGAGCCGCTGAGCTTGAGCCTCACTTTGCAGTGTTACTGTTAAACACATCAGGTTATATGCACCTAAGCACATTCGTTGGTACTGTAGCAGATTGCCCTTTAGGGGAATAGACCGTGCTCTAATTAGAGGTGTTAGGAGTACTTGAGCGTCCAGATCTGTCATGGATAGGGATTTTGATGATCTTTGAATATGTTTTCCTTGTGAAATTAGTAGCCTATGGATCAATATAAGAAAGTTGTAGATTTCCTTGGTAAACTGAAGAAATTCAGGGTTGTAAATTGACTAAATTAATTAAGAGAAGTCCCTTATTCTTTCATTAAAAAGAAGAGTCCTGTTAGGGCTGTAGCCTATCCTTGTAGGAATAGTGCTGAAATTTGGTTCCTAAACAGTTTTCCTACTTTTATCGTCTTAGAGGTTTTGGTTGCTGTTATTGTCTGAGAGGTTTTGGTTGCTGCTACTGACTAGGTTGGAACAATATTGTCTGGTTTCTGATAAGGTGGAACTTTGATATGAAAGGATGGGTGGATGTCTTAAACCGTAAGTGGAACTCAGTGAGCTTATGGACAGATTGCAGAAACTTTGCTAAAGCCGCTTAAACGTCTGCATATGACAGAATTTGATTTGGGCTGGATTTCTTCTAACTTGATATGGAGATCGTAAGAAAATAGCTTACCCTCATACACCCAAAAATGCTATGGCCTGTTAGCTAATTCAAAAAAGTTGTTTAGCTCAGGCCCATTAGCAACAGTAAACCTTTGTCTACAGCCATGCCATCCCAATCTAGTCGGTCTCAGAAGCTAAGCAGAGTTAGTCCAGTTAGTACTTGGATGGGAGAAATATCAAGAGTTTGGCTGTGTGATCCCAGTCACTGGTTCCCAACAGACTGAATTTAGAAAGGAGCTTGCTACTTACCTAGCTTCCAAAGAGAACGCAATTTTAAATTAGGTTATGCTATACTCAATTTGTCTACTGTTTCTTTGGAGGGGGGGCGTATAACTCTCCCCCACCCATGCCACCACAAGATGGATGAGTAATGGGGACAGTTCTCCCATGCTCAGCTTCAGGGCTGGTTTACCCACACCTGTGCGAACAGGGTTGGCTCTGTTGTGCTGCCCTGCAGAGGTGCAGGGCCTGCTGTCCCGAGTGTTGCAGCTGGTGGGGGTCAGGGATAACTCTTGGGCTCTAATGACCACAGGGCCAGCTCTCTCCACTTGTCCCAGGCATTGATAGGCAGGTGGGGAGGGCGACTCTCCCCCACCCATGCCGCCTCAAGACAGATGAGTAAAGGGGACAGCTCTGCTGTTTCTTACGAGTTGACAAAGCAGTAACATTTTTAAGTTTTGGTGGAACTACCCGGTATGTTACCACAGTGGATTCGTGCCTATATATTTCTCAAATCCATAAACTAGGGTGTAGACGTGGAAGTAACTCTTCCAAGCCTACTTAAGTCAATCTGTAACTTCCAAATACGAGCAAATGTCCCATCTCCAGGCAAGGCTAAAATTAACAATGACAAGCTGAGTAACCAGTAAGTAAGCAATGACAAGAAGAGGAGTCGGGGCTGCAACCTGGGGACTTTGATTCTGAGTGCCAGGCTAAAGCATTTTGGGAGAAAGCGGCAGCAGCCTGGAGAGAGCCTGCTGGTCTGTGGGCTGGCCTTGAAATTATGGTGCACACATGCTCTGGCCACAGCCAAACGCCATTCATTACTTCCTGTCACTTAGGGATTGTGTGATTAGTGGATCTCACAGGCTGAACAAATAACTTCTTGAATGAAGAACCAAAATGTTTTGTAAGTCCTAAGTGGTAGGGTAGTTGGTAGCAAGACACAG